AGAGATGGGGGTCTCACAGCCTCTGTGAGCTGTGATGAGCAGCAGATCTGACCCACAGGGCCGTGGCAAACCCCGCTGTCTGTCTGCTTCTGGCTCCGCCACCAGAGCCTAGTGTCCCTCAGCGTCCTGAACAGGACCAATCCCGAGCGGGGGGCTGGCTCTGGGGAGCCGGGGAAGGAGCCTGGATGGCCACCGCGGCGCGACGCGGGCCTGGACCTGGCAGGCTGGTTTCTATGGCAGCCAGGAGGGAGGAGCAGAAAGAAGCGGAGTGTGTAGTGTGGCAGGGGGAACACCCACGGCAGATTTCCCGGGCCTGCTGCACAGTAGATTCCCTTCTAGGGAGAGGAAGGGAGGCGGAGACGCTGCAGAAAGCCAGTCAACAGGAACATCTTGCCGAAACAACTCCTGCGCGCTCTCGACCCAGCCTTCCCATTCTTTGCCTCTAAGTGACCGCGACACGAGCCCGTAATCCTTCCAACAGAGCAGGGGTTTACTGCAAAGCACCGTGCGACAGACAGCTCCTCCGGGTGAGTCTGGCAAGGCTTTAAGCTCTGCAGAAAGAAGTGCTCCTGTCACCCTCTGACTGGATCCCTGGCACATGTCAGGCCTAGTTCTCATGGTGCAGCTTACTCCCGGTCCCCCTAGTCGCCTGCATATTCCCTGCTGTGATGCGCTAGTGGTGGCAGGGCTGGTGCTGGTGGTAGGTGCTAAATACTATTTCTCTAGTTTATAAACAAGGACGCCAGGTGACTGGATTGAGTGTAGGGCTGGGAGTTTGATTCAGAGGCCACAGAACATAGAAGATAATTCCCAGAGTTAAAGTGCTTTATTTCAAGAGGAGGAAACAGAGTTTAGAAACGTCAGTTGACAAGAGTCTCTCTCACACATGGTTTAATGACCCAGCTAGATCCAAGAGTCTAATGTCAGTTCTGTGAGCTATTTGTCCACGTTCTTTCACTGCCTACCCCATTCCTGAACACCAGGGTGAAATTATAAGGATCAAAACAATCTACATCTAAAATCCTTATGAGGCAGAAATTGAGGGACTGGAAGATTTTTTTTTCCTATTTGCCAGACACTGTATTAAGTAATTTTATAGACTAATTCCTCACACCTACCTGAGGTAGGTTCTGGTATTAGCACCCTGTTTCAGTCGATAAGGAAACTGAAGCAAAGACAGTCATTTGACTCATCCCACATTCTGAAGCTGCAGAATGCTGGGGTTGGGGCTGAAACCCAAGTAGCCTAAGGACTCTGTCCTTAGGCCAGGTCGTTCCTTCTGCCCCCACTTCCTGTGTGCTCCTTAAAGAGGTCAGAAACAGTATGGCCAAGACAGAAAAAACCTTGGACAGCTCCACACACTGGCCATGGGCAGGGAAGCCAGGACCCTGGGAGGACTGCTTCCACAGCCTTCTCATCTGTTGATGGAGAAGGGTTCTCTGTCTTTAAAAAACAGGAATTGTAAAGTACTGCATGCCACCACTAGCCCGTTTTCTTTGTAAAACAATAAAATGAAAGATAAAGTAGCACATTAAAAGAAAAAAAAGATTTGAAGGGCCCTTTGAGTCTTGAAATATGCCAGTACATGGCTAACTTCTTGTTTTTTGAGACAGGGTTTCTATGTGAAACAGTCCTGATTGTCCTAGAACTCACTCTGTAGACCAGGCTGACCTTGAACTCACTGAGATCCACCGGCTTCTGTCTCCCAAATACTGGGATTAAAGGCATACGCCACACTGCCCGGCTGGACTAACATTTTTGTAGGAAAATTGTATAGAAACCTAGACCCTCATCCCAGACCAAACATACAGGCACAGTGACAAAACCCTCACACCATGCTGCCACAGAGCAAGGGAAATGTAAGACCGGTCAGAAATTGCTTACCAGACCCCACTCCATCAGCCCCTTGCATTCTCAGTTTTCTTTGAGTTGTCTTGCTGCAGTCTCCTATTTCCAAACTGGACCATTCTACTCTCATCTTCCAGTCTTGTTACCTAGAACACCACACCCACACTGAATATGAACCTGGCCATTCTTGGGGCCCTCCCACCTCTAGAAAACCTTCCTCCTTCCCTCTTTGATGACACCTGACAAATCTTAGAAGACAATGTGGACGTTTCCTTTAAGATTGCAAACTATTCTTACATGGTGAAATATGCAACTAAAAATGGTGCCGCCTAACTCAGGAAATTTTGTTTCAGAACCTTGTAAAACCCAAATCTGAGAATGAACGTCTTTACAAAATTTGACAATATCTTTGATTGGAAAAGATATTATCTTAGTTTGGGCTGTGTCATCAATTGCCATAGACATTATCTTATCAATAGCTCTGCAGTTAGAAGTCTGAACTAAGGGTGCCACAACGGTCAGTTCTGGAAATGGCAATCTAATGGGCTGCAGACTACCAGCTTCTCATTGACTCCTAAGAGAAGGGACCAAAGAGTTTCAGTCTTTCATGTAACTTTGTCCTCACACACGAGGCTAGCTCTCCTCTAATGACCTAATTCTCTACCTGGTTCTCTGATACCAACAAACTAGGAACTGCCATTCCAGTGTATGAACTGGGGGTGGGGGACACATGAACACAGTCCATCAGATCCCTTCCCAGTCATTTTTTCCTCTCAGAATCTGGACATTAGATGTACCAGATCCTCTCCTTCTGTCTTGCCTTCTGCAGATTTGTGTCCTTGTGTGACATTCTAGGTAACTGCTTCACATGGATCTTCTCTTTCTCTAGTTACCACTTGAGTCATTGCTTATCAGCCGTCCAAACTGGCCCCCTTTATTACTTTGAGAATAGAAACACAGCTAAGCCTGGAGGGAAGAGTCCACATCCACTTCTGTATTTTCTCAGAAGGGATTGAGACTTAAAATCAAATCATTTTTTAATAAATTTTAGTATTTATTAATGTTGTTTGTTCTTTAAGTTTATAAGACCCTTTAAGAACCCTTTAAGGCCCACAATAGTGGGCCAGGCATGATGGTGCATTATTTAATCCCAGCACTCCAGATGTGGGGGCAGGATGATCAGCCTAGTCTACATAGCAAGTTCCAAGCCAGCCAAGGAGGCTAAAGGGAGAGGCCCTATCTCAAAAACAAAACAAAACAAAAATCCTAGTATTGTTGTAGTAGTGAAGCATTTATCTGAAGCTTACCATAATTTTGTGCCTTTAAAAAATTAACTACAATTATTTTACTTACTTGGGGGGCAGCAGTTATGGATGCCACGGTGCACATATGGGAGTTAAAGGATAGCTTGTAAGAGTCAGTTCTCTTCAAAGGCTAGGTAGTTCCTAAGGGTTGAACTCAGGTGAATAGGCTGAGCCGTCTTGCCAGTTCCCCTTTTTGGTTTCGTCATAGTCAAATCCAAACAAAATTAAACAGAAAGAACTAAAACAATTGCAGTAATCCAATTTTTAGAAAGTTCTCCCCCCTTTCCCCCTCATTCTCCTCCTTCTCCGAGATATCTAGAATGATTTCCATCTAATGTTAGCAAATTATTTCCATTTTTTCCCCCCAAGACATGGTCTCTCTGTGTAGCTCTGGTTGTTCTGGAACTCCCTCTGTAGATCAGGCTGGCCTTGAACTCACAGATATCTGCCTGCCTGCCTCTGCCTCCCAGGTGCTGGGATTAAAGGCATACAGCACCTGGCAACATATTATTTGATTGATGGGTTGGGATGGTTTTAGTTTTTCCTCTAAACCACATTTTTTTTTTCAAATGTAATTCAACAGCAACAACAGAAAGAGTGGAGGATGTCAGTGACTAAGAGGCCACTAACTCTGTTAGTTTTAATTCTATCAATATTCTGGGCACTTTTATTTAAAAATGTTTTGTGCAAATGAGGCAGCCAGAGATCAAAGTTGGGTGTCTCAATCACTCTCCACCTCACTGAGAGTTTCTCATTTATTCTGAGCTTTGGTTCTACTGGCATGGCTGGCTAAGCACGCCCCTGTCTCTGTCTCCCAGATAGGATGTTGGGACATGCTGCCATACCTGGCTTTTGACATGAATGGTGGGAATCTAGTGCAGGCCTTTGAGCAATGAGCGCTTTACCTGCTGAGTGATCTCCTTAACCCTGCCTATTACTTAGCTGTCCTGACTTTTAGCTTTTATTTACTTAATGGTTAACACTGAAATTTCTTACTAAAATTAAAATACAAGTAAAAATTATACTGACCAGTGTTGCAGGCAAACCAAGCTCCCCCTTTGAGTTCTTAGTCCAGTTAAATAGTTTAAAAACCGACAATTTTATAATCCCAGCACTAGGTAGGCAGATCTCTGAGTTCAAGACCAACCTGGTCTACAAAGCTACCCAGAGAAACCCTGTCTCGAGACAGAGAGAGAATTTAATAAAATTTGTAATTCTTAGCAGCTGCTGGGAGGAGATGGAAGAGAGAGAAGCCGTGTTTTTTGAGTTTAGGTCTGTGAAATCTGATATGTTCAGCAAGGGAAGTTGGCAAGTATCTCCACTGTAGAGAAGGGGCTTCAGTAAAAGAGAAAGCCCAGAATGTCAAGAAGAGCCTACTTAAGCTTTGGGGCAATATCCAAAAGAAAAAGATAAAAAGTTACACTTTTCTGGGTTAGAACTTAGAAAACTAGATAGGCCTAGCAGTGCAGCCATGAGTTGTGTAAGCAGCTGCACCAAGGGAGGAGGGTCTACTGGGAAGGGTAAGTACCTAATTTCACTAAGGTGAAATGGGTTAGTTATTTCTCCCATCTCTTTAGTGAGATTCCGGGTAAATCAGCTTTCCTTGGGGTGGATTTCTGGACAGTGACTGACAGGCCCACATAATCGAGGAAACAGCAGCAAACTGCATTGCTCTCCTCTAAGGCAGACCAGGTCATGTTTCCTAGCAGGGCCAGGGCTATTCCACATTCTAGGAGGCCTAAGAAGGGGCTTATGATCATGTTTTCCTTCCTAATATTAGCCGGGAAATGGGAAGTGGGGTCTAAAGCTGACTGTGAGGGAGGGATCCATCCTCAAGGGCTTCCAAGGCCACTAGTCCCTATCTAGCTACCTGACATCCCCTCAAGAGCTGAGACCTTAGAATCCTCAAAGGGACAGACAAAAATTGGGAAATATCATAATCCATTTCCACCATGAAAATCCAGAGATTCAGCTCCAAAGCTGTTTGCCAGGAAGGTTTAGTGTCTGGACTGGGGTTTCAGTCACACACTCAGCATGGCTTCCAGGCAGAGGGGCTCGTTTAAGAAATTGAGGTAATAAGAAACCAGAGCTCCGGGGGGCCGGAGAGATAGCTCAGGGGTTAAAAGCACTGACCGTTCTTCCAGAGGTCTTGAGTTCAATTCCCAGCAACCACATGGTGGCTCACAACCACCTTGAATGAGATCTGGTACCCTCTGCTGGCATGCAGGCAGAAGACTAAATAAAATCTTTAATAAAACTTAAAAAAAAATGTACAGTCTAGTGATGGACACTTGTAAGCCTGAGAACCTTTAATTCTAAATTAAGGGTGATGGGAGCAGAAGTGCTAAATCTTCCTGAAAATATTCCTAAGAGTGAATGACAACGCAATCTTTGACAGCTATTTAAGCCATGAGAACCTTCTTGCTTTTGCTTATGTCTAAGATGTCTGGCTTTTAAATGTATTAACGTTTGGATTTAGTTTTCCTGTGAACATCTGGTGATGCTATAAAAAGTGTCTCTGGACTGTATAATATACCTCAAAAAGCTTTTAGAACCTGATCCGGGATGTCTTCTGCGCCCCCCCAGAAGCCAGAGGAGCTACAGACAGAACTGAGTTCAGTGACCACAGATAGACAACTGTATCAGCCCAGGTTCTAGAAGCTTTAGACAAGGGAGCTCACAGGCTGGTGAATACATCAGTGTGCTGGAGGAGGCAACAACACAAAACTCCACACCCTCACCTAGAGAGGCATCTCTTCTGTTCCTGAGCAGAATCCTTTCCCACAACAGTGCAGGTGTTTTAAGTACAGTGATTTCCTGGTTCCTGGGTGTTTTAGGGCATTACTGAGCTTTGGGGTGGGGTTCGAGGAATCACCCAGCTCACAGTTGGCTGAGCATGATGAGTGCTTCCAGTCAGTTGGCTGTATGTCTCTAGGAATCGAGGGCAGTGTGACTATTTTCAATTGAACACCTTTATGACCACATTGCCATGTTAATTGAAGATGTAAATTAACTTTAAAGAATTTAATTTGGGGAATTCTGCTCTAAGCTTGGGTAATTAGAACTGAATTGCAGGACACCTAGCCGGTTGGTGTCTGAGAATTGCTGTTCAGTGAGTAGGGGAGACATAAGCTCTGTAATGCAAACACTGTACCCCACAGAGCAGTTGCCCACACTCTAGACAGACCTAAGCTTAAAGGCCCATGGGAACTAAGTGGAAAACACTCTAGGAATAAGCACCCAATTTATTACTTGGAGCAAATATAGATTTGTTTTTAAGAGCTTGTTCTATGCAAAATATTTTGCCAAGTGCAAAGCACATTCACCCAACAGCTCAATACTAGCGAGCAGTTTTCCTCAACGTTAGCAGTCAGATCCAACTTCGTCCTGAACAAGCTAGCCTTTGGGGCAAAGGAATGAGTGATTATTTCAACACTGTGAAGTGCCTTTGACTCTGATCTTTATTTTGTGATCACAGGTCTTAAAAGAGGACGTGTTTAAATTTTCATACCTAGACTTACTGCTTACAACACTCAAAATTCACTAGACACTAGTTGGTAATTGACATGTTTGGGGTCATGCTCTGCTAGGGTTAAAGCATATACCCACAGCTCACTCTGAAACAGTGACTTTCTATAATAAATATAGAAAATATAAATGAGCTTTGTAGTAGGAACTCAACTGCTAAACAGAGCAAACATACTGAAGTCTCTACAGCCTGTTTTGAGTTTAAAATAAACAACTTTCTTATTTCCATCTGAATGTGCCAACTTGAGTGACACAAAACACTTGTTCAGTATACCTTGTGATTTGTTATACTTAATGCCAGGATTACCAAAAGTATTCTTGAACTGATCCTTTAAACTTACACTTTAAAAAGAAGTAAATTGTTTAAAATAAACAGGCACTAATAAACTTAAAAGAAAAAAAACAAAATACCCACTTCTTGTTGTGCAGTTAAGAACTATAACTTGTGTCATTGCCTTTTTAGCTAATTTTTGGGTTAGAACAATGTATTAATCTTCTACTGAGTCACAAAAACACATGAAATATATCCAACCAAATTCATAATTAAAAAAAATAAGAGGATTGAAGAGATGGCTCAGTGGTTAGGAACACTGGCTGTTCTTCCAAGAGGCCAAGGTTTGATTCCCAGCACCCTATGGCAGCTCACAACCATCTCTAACTCCAGTTCAAGAATCTTCTGGTTTCTGGAAGTACCAGGCATGCACATGGTGTACATACATTCAAGCAAAGCACCTGCACACATAAGAGAATAAATCAGAAAAAGAGTCATGAACACATAATTTTAAAGTTTACTTTAAAATGTAAATATCTCCCAGTATTTAACAGGTAAAGAAAATAGCATATTGATTTTGTGGTTGCTATATTTTTTATTTCCCAAGTAATACTGATTAAAAATATTTACACACCTACTTTTAAGTCCACAGTTTAGCACTCTTATTTGTATGGCTTTAAAAGTTATAGCACAAAATCTTTACATTAAGGATTGGGGGGAAAAGATTCCATTCAAAACAAAGCCTGATATATTATATACATACTTTTCCTCTGTACTTTATTTTAAATACATTAATTTAAAAATGATGCTCATCTAATTTTTTTTCATCCGGTGGTAAAATACTAGTGCAACTTCTCATCAAATAAAGTTTACCACAGATGCAAATGAATTTTTGCAATTGAAAATGGCCCTTCAGCTGCCGTTAAATGAAAACATTTCAATGTAACTTAAAGGAAAAAGAATTGATAGTTGTCATTATAAGCAAAAAATACCAAGTACCAGAGCAGTTCTCACTGCTCCTTAAAACACAAACTTTGAAAGAACCAGAGATGTTTTACTGAAGTTCTGTTGGCTTTGAAAAGGCACAAGGGTGTTTTTTTTTTTGTTTTTTTTTTTCCCCTTTCTTTAACATTCTGCCACCACCGTTTCTATTTCGGAGACAGCATTTGTAACCACTGGATAGACAAGAATGTTGTTCAAAATAAAGCCAGCCCGACCCTACATTTAACTGCACAGTAACAATGCACTTCCCTCATGCAGCTTTGTGTTGCCTACATACTCAATTTCCTAGCATGCATTAGAATACAAATGTATGTATTCTAATGGTTTTATGTATAATTTTTATAATATGCAAAGAATTTAAGGAAGGACATGACCTAGGGAAGAGAATACGGAGACCCTTACCACAATGAAAATAGATGCATTCGTACCCAACTATAATAAGAATATAATTCATTTAAGTTACCAGAAATATACTTCTCAAAGCTCCCACTCATTATAAGAGATATTCCCACTCTGTGGCATTAACTGGAAGGAAGGACATCAGTCTGTTTCCATAGAAACAGCTCAGCACAACAGGAAATAGTTTAACTTTGGTCCACTTATCTGATAGCTTAAGGTCACACTGCCCATCAGCTTACCCCAAATGTAAATTTAAAAATACAATTGTTATTTCATTCTAAAACTGGCACAGATGTTCTGTCATCCTCTGCTTTTCCAGCTTGGGAATATTCTCTTGGTTTAGTCTCTAACCCCTCCGCATCTTCGTGATCTTCCACAGCAGCCTCAGCAGCATCTGCATGGCTAGGCTCACTCTCCTCTTGGCTCATGATTTCGGGGGTCATGTGATCCAAGTCAGCTTCTAGAAGCTCAGTTTGTACTTCAACTGGCATCTGATTTACCCGTTCAACATGCAGTTCTTCCACATGCACTTCAGTACCCTCTTCAGTCTGAATGCGGCCCACTTCCAGATAACTCACTTGGACCTGCTCTGGAAGCTCACTCATAGGTGAGTCATGCACTTGGCCATCCTGGAGCAGATCTGGATGGACTTGTTCCACTGTGACTTGTGCTGAATCCACCTGGACCTGAAGCAGTGGTAACACATGCACCTTTCCAACTTGTTCTATGATAGTCATCGATGTCACTGGTTCAGTCTGCACACGTGTTTCTACTGAAAGGACCTCTTCAGTTACTATACGCTCTGAAATATTGTGAGCATCACTAAGATGCCTCCTTAATTCATTTCCTTGCATAAACCACAAGTCACACAGAGTGCAATGGTTGGGTTTATCTCCAGTGTGTATTACCAAGTGATCTTTGAACTGGTCCCAGCTGTTAAACACACTATTACAGACCTGAAATCACCAAATATAGTTATGTTAATAATACTTATAATCAAATTGAAGCAAATGTGAATACATTTATTCTCCATAAAATACACTAAGGGGTTGAGATTAGCTAAGTGGAGATCCAAGCATAAATAAGGTACAGTACTGGGTCTAATCTTAAGCTTCAAGATTTAGACCCACTACATTGTTTGGGACAAAAAATATACTACTCATGGAAGAGATCATTATTGTATCTTGTCAGCTTTCCCTGTTGCTCTCCCAGATACTAATAATTGTTCCTATGGTTAAATAACTAATTGTGGGCTGGTGAGACAGCTCAATGGTAAAGGCACTTGCCTGGAGACCTGAGTCAATTCAATCCCTGGAACCCACATGGTGAAAAGAGAATAAACTCCTGCAATTTGTCCTACGACCTCCATGTGCTGCAACACTTGTGCCCACTGCCAATAACAAATATAAACACCCAACCAACTATTCTCCCAAACCAGGTGTGGTGGCCCATGCCTCAGCACTTGGGAGATAGAGACAGAGAAGATCAAAATTCAACTTATCACCCTCAGCTACAAAGGGAGTCTGAGACCAGCCTGGGCTATGACAGACCTTCTTCTTCAAACCTGCACATTCATAAGCATTACTATACTATTTAGGGCAACTGTTATTAACACTCACCATCTAGGGTTGAATAAAACAAACAACAAAAATATTCTAATAACCCACCAGATGGTGGTAGCACAGGCCTTTAATCCCAGCACTAAGGAGGCAGAGGCAGGCAGATCTTTGAGAGTTTGAGGCCAGCCTGATTTAAAGAGTGAGTTCCTGGACAGCTAGAGCTGTTAACAGAAACTGTCTCAAAAAAAAAAAAAAAAAAAAAAAAAAAAAAAAAAAGGAAAGAAACCAAAAAAATCCAATAACCATTACAAAGTAAAAGGCTTTTCTATATTCCCAAATCTTTCCAAGGCTCAACTTGCTTGAGATGCTGATACTGTTTGACTTGGGAGTTGCGTGCTGATTTATCATGCAATGCTGTAGCATTTACTGCACCTAACCTACCAGACACTACAGCAGCACAAACAAGCATGCCCAACCCCTTGACACTGCAACAGGACATTGTCACCAATAAAGTTCACAGTCAAGAGCTGCTGAAGTTAAAAAACAAAACAAAAATCCCTGTGTTTAAGGATTTTACAATTTTGTTTTTGCCCAGAATACAGCTGTTTTGAGGTCACAGAGTTACCACCCAGTTTTGTTTACTACTGTGACTGCAAGGTTCACTGGGAGCTGAGGCTTGCTGTTGCCTGGTATCACAAGAGAATGTCCTACTGAGTATCACTAATTCAGGAAAAGATCAGATTTCAAAATTCCAAGAATGGTTTCTACTGAACACATGCTTTCTGCACTACTGTCAAGTCAAAAACTTCTAAGTCAACCCTGTGAGTCAAGACTATTTAGTTTGCCCTTCCAGTGACTGCAAGTAAGTTCCTCTTTGAGTACAAAATACACCCACACATACCTGGCATTCGTAAAGCTTCTTCCTTCCCTTTTTTGCCCCCACTCCAGTTTGGCATGCAGTGAGGTGACATTTAAGAGTGCTGTTTCTAGCAAACCGCTCATGACAATTTGAACATTCAAAAGGTTTTTCACCTATTGTAAGAAAAAAATTATACAATATAAATTGAGAACATTAGCAAAGGCAAGTATGAGAGTTAATCATTTTGATTATTAAAATTTTTTATTCTTTTGCAGAGCTGGGGATTCATGAATGTCAGGAAAATGACCTACCATCGAGGCACACCTTTAGCTAACTTTAAAGTTGTCATCTTCTTTGAAACAGGGTCTCTTTATTATTCATCTCTGGCTGTCCTGGAACTGGCTCTACAGACCAGGCTGGCCTCCAATTCAGAGGTCCAACCTGCTTCTGCTCCTAAGTGCTGGGATTAAAGGTTTGTACCCCTACACCCAGCTCATACTCATCTGTGCTTGAGAGTGTGTGTTGGGGGGGAGAGTGGGGGGGGCCAGGATTTGCCACATATGCCAGGCTGACCTCAAACTCTTATGGTCATTCTTCTTGTGTACCTCTGCCTCTGAGTGCTTTCCCTTCCATATTTTGAAATACAGTCTCACCATGTTCCTTATGTTCAAATTAAACTTAAAATCTTCTGACTCAGTCTTCCAAGTGCTACAAGTACAGGTGTGAATCACATGTCTAACTTAGGTGACGATAATAAAAAATAAGGACAGGGATGAACAGATCCATAATCTCAGTTCTTAGGAGAGGCAGAGGCCGAAGATTATATGAGTTTGAGGCAAATTGGAGCAACAAAGCAAAATGCTGTCCCAAAAAGCAAAACTCATTGAAGCATGATGAAGAATGCCTTTAATTCTAGCACCAGGGAGGCTAAGATGGTATATAAGGGCTACACAAACTAACAAAACTAAAAACAAAGCAATAAGCTGATGCTTTGAACACTTTCATGAAAATAAATTCAAAGCCGTGGAGACTTACTGAAAAAGAGAGAGCTAACAGGGCAATTCTGCCTGGAATAGAATGATTGAAGGAAAATTGACTTCTGTCAGAGCACAAAAGTACAGCATGGAAGAGTAGATGAGTAAGGAGGGAGTGATCAGGACTCCCAAATCTCTGACCTAGCATGCCACCTCATATCAAGAACCAAGAGTGCAGGGCTTCCAATGAAATTTGTAGTGGGGATGCAGGGAAAGGCCATTTAGTTTATTTGCAAAGTACCACAAAGTCCTGGGTTTAATCCTTAGCACCACATAAATTGGGTGTATCTCAGTACCTGGGAGGTGGAGACAGTTATATCTGAAGTACAAGATCATCCTGGACAATGTATTTACTGAATTCAAGGCCACCTGGGCTACATGAAACTGTGTCTCAAAAAATAAGTGAGACTAGAGAGATGGCTCAGCAGCTGCTCTTCCAGAGGACCGAAGAGTGATTCCCAGCACACACAAGGCAACTCACAACCATCTGTTAATTCCAGTTCCAGGAGATGCCTTCTAGCCTCTATGTGCAGACATACAGCAGGAAAGCACCCAGACATATTTAAAATGGGGGGGGGGGGCACTAACTTGATTTCTAAAGGCAGTCAAAGCAGAGTAGAGATTCCCAAGGGATAGTTGTATAGACAATTCTGGAGAGTCATTTTCAGTGGCAATGAATACTTCCAAGATGGAGCAAAATTCTTAGCATGTTATATAATTATAAAAATCCTGAGTAGAGTCTAAGGAAGCAGGCAGATGAACTAACAGTGGAAACAGAACTGCCAAAGGATACCAAGGGGTGAGGCTTAACCAGAATGGAGGAGTTAATGAGAAGCGCAGCAGTAAAAACTGTACAGAGTTCTTTCAATAAAGCCTAGAAGTAGGGTTGAGGCTATGGCTCAGTGGTAGAGTGTTTACCAAGCACAAGGCTCTGGGTTCGAAAGAAGTTTAATTCCAGCTCTTGGGAGGCAGAGGCAGGCGGATCTCTGTGAGTTCGAGGCCAGCCTGGTCTACAGAGCTTTCCAGGATAGACTCAAAAAGCTACACAGAGGAACCCTGTCTCGAACACCTTCCCCTCAAAAAAGGATTGGAAGAGACCTCTAAGAGAAATCACCATCTGTTGAGTTTCTGTGTGGGAGAAGGCTGCAAGGGAAGAGGAAAAAAAGGATTGGAATGAAGATGGCATGTTCAAGTTGTAAGATTCAGCATTGGTCTTTGAAGAAAACGAAAGCTGTTGGAGATGTGGATAAAAAGAGCTATGCCAACTTGAGAGTGGAGGGAAGGGAATACACAGCAGGAATCTGGAGAAGCAATTAGATAGAAAAAGATATATCAGACAAGAAACTGCCACTGAGGCAGTATTTTCTCCAGCACTGTCCACTAACAAGGAAGGATAAACGGATTCCAACATGCAATGACTCCAATGTGGAGGCTGGTTCTAAACACAAGTAGGATTCTTCTGCTGTGGGATAATCCTTTTGTACACTGTACAGATTTGTTGCTGTGATTGGTTTAATAAAGAAGTTGACTGGCCAGGCAGGTGGATCTCTGAAAGATACCTAAACAAGATAAAGTTAGGCAGCAAAGCCAGACTAGGAGAATGGTGGGAGAAGAAGGGCAGAGTCTGGAGTCACCAGGAGACAAAGGGAGAAGCAAGATGGGCATGCTGCACTGAGAAAAGGTACCAAGCCATGTGGCAAAGCATAAATAAGAAATATGGGTTAATTTAAATGAAAGAGTTAGCTAGCAACAAGCCTAAACTATTGGCCAAGCATTTGTAATTAGTATTAAGCCTCTGGGCGATTATTTGAGAGAGGTTATGGGACAGGAAATCTCCACCTACATCCTTCTATGAAAGAAAAGATATGACAAGGTTCAGGTCAAGACAGAAATCAGTAAATAAACTAATGGGAAGGATGAGCTGAAAGGCTTTGAGGTAGAGAGACAAGAATTGTCTAGAGTAGGGGGATTCAAAGACAGCAATGGTATTTGCTGATAATAGAATCAAGACGTCAGAGGCTTTCCGATATGACCCACGACATTCTGATATGACCAAAATACTCGAGTAGACTGACATACATTACCAAGTCACATGTTCTTTTCCCAATAAAATAGATACAACTTTTATACAGTTTGCCCATGATGAAAAAATTAGGTAATACCTAATTAATGTTTATATGGGAACTCTCTAATTCAAGAAAAACTGAAAAATATGCTCAACAAAATGATTATTTTTTATTAGTGGGCTACCAATGAAATCTATAAGCATAAATTGTAACAGCCTTTTGAAAAGACAATGTGGCCGGGAGTTGGTGGCGTACACCTTTAATCCCAGTACTCGGGAGGCAGAGGCAGGTGGATTTGAGGCCAGCCTGATCTACACAAGAAAGTTCCAGACGGGCACCAAAGCTACACAGAGAAACCCTGTCTCCAAAAAAACCAAAATGAATGAATGAATGAAGTGGAGAAAGATACCTGAAGTTCATCTCCGGCTTCCAGAAACATATATATACAGAAGTGCACTCACTAACCATGTGCCACATCCATACAGTCATGCAGATACATACATGTGCTACACACACATGTGCATGTATGTTTGTAGAGAGGTAGGAAGGGAGGGAAGGGAGGAGTAAAAGCATTCTGATGTTTGTCAAGATCTCTTTAACCTGGTACTTCTGTACTCATGTGGTGGCAAGTGCACACGTACAATTCACACAATAAAAAGCCTTTAAAGGTACTTACAAGAGCATGTGTATAAAGATAAATGTACCAGGATGCTCACTACATACACCACATCAGGCAAACTCTAGCAAAAACCTTGTGGTTACTCAGAGCTATGCACTAAAATAACTATGAAGCCACAGTAAAAGACAATTAAGCCCTCCTAAAGTGTTTCATTTGCAATCCCAGCACTTGGGAGGTTGAGGCAAAAAGAGCAGCTGAGCTACTTAATGAGAACTTGCAAAATTAAAAAGAAAAGGGGGGGTGAGTCTTTTAAAATGAAATGGCAGAAGTGTATGTGCTTACAGTCACTTAATAATGCAAAGAGGCAAGCACTCTCTACCACTGACCCTGCCCCCAATGATTTGTATAGCCAAACAATGCTTTCCAGTAAGGTTATCCCTTTGATCCAATAGCTAGCTACTTTTAAGAGATCTATCATAAGTAGGAAAGAATCACTTTCCACTGCATGACCCCTCAGCTGTTTCTATTAAACAATTAGTTTAATAAGACTGGTAAAATCTAGAAATAGTCAGAAGATTTTTTGAGGGGGTCGAGACAGGGTTTCTATGCGTAGCCTTGGCTGTCTTGAATTTAGAGATCTGCCTACCTCTGTGTGCAGGATTAAAGGCGGGCACCACCATTGCATAGCTGACCTTTTTTTTCTTTTAAAGACATGTAGACTGTTAGTCTTCAGAGTGCTTCCTCACTTCTCTATTTGTCATATCTGTGGGATGTGTACTATTAAACTTAATGCAAAGAAAGTGACCCACCATGTTCATCACCTGGTAGCTGTCAAGTCTGGAGCCAGAACTCAACTGCGATTTTTATTTTCTGATTCTCCTTGGAAAGTAGGGAACAACTACTGAAAAACATATTGAAGTCACCTCAAGGTTCTTCTTCAAATATAGCTGTCAAAGGGATCTGGTATTCTCCGTCATCTCCTGCTGGAGTCACCGTCTTTCACCTTCAAGTCTCAGCGATCACCAAATCCTGTGGCTCCTGCCTACTATTATCAAACCTCTGCCTCTTTTTCACTACCGCTGCCATTACCTAATCTTGCATTCTTCAGACTGCTCCAAGACTTCCTCATCAGACCAACAGCTTTTGTTTCACATCAATCTACTTTGCCAGTCACTGCTTTAAAACAGAAACCTGACCCTTCTGCTTACACATTTAAGCCACAAGGCAAAGTTCAGTTTGCTTCTGTGCTAAATGGACCCTACAGGGAGTATATGGCTCTACAACTTATAACTAATAAAACTAACTAAGTTATTTGTTATCTCTCATCCTTTTGAAGACCATAAAGTTCTTCAGCCCTATAGTCACTCCGTTAAATAAACCACTTGCCCAGGTGACCTGCTCCAACAATCTCTTGGTATTCCTTTACTTTGACCCAACTCTACAGCCTCCATTCGTCTACTAGAGGTGCACACAACTTGCTTTCATGCTTTCCTCTATGACTCTTTTGCTTGAAAATCTGCTTCCACACTACTTTTCCTGAGTCGTCATCACTGGGGCAGGATCTTGAGGAATAACACCTTTTCTGAATCTGATTCTTCAATTTCCATTAGTGGACAACAACTGACTTTGAACAGTGAGAGGAGGAGGAGAAGGAAGAAGAGGAGGAAGAATAATAATAAAACATTCAACACTAATAGCTATCCAAATTCCAGTATCAAAGAAAGATTCTGAATGGTATATGTATCTATGCTCTATTTCAATATCAACACTCCAAATGGCCTTATTCATTGCATGTAACAAGACCTGGGCACAACTGTCTAGAAAACCAACAATTAGCAGCTCATGGTAACTGCTTTCTCCATACTCTTATTATACAGGGTTTGGAGACTAGCAAAAATTTAAGTCACTGGTAGTAGGTCCTGTGCTTGACTTAGGAAATCTAGCAAGGAATGCCTGGGGAATAAAAGCAAGGACAAGGAATCCAGTGAGTATGTGTGTGTGTGTGGGAGGGGTGACATAGAACTATGGTGACCAAAGAAAAGCTTCCTGGGACCTCTTCAAGAGTGATATAGGCTGGGCGTTGGTGGCGCACGCCTTTAATCCCAGCACTCGGGAGGCAAAGGCAGGTGGATCTCTGAGTTCGAGGCCAGCCTGGTCTACAAAAGCTAGTTCCAGGACAGCCGCCAAAGCCACAGAGGAACCCTATCTCAAAAAAAAAAAAAAAAAAAAAAAAAAAAAAAGTGATATAGTCCTTACAAGAAAGAGTACACCTTATCTCCCTTGGCTGTCCACTAGTCCTGATATATTTGCCTTTAAGTAGATGACTAACTTTTCCTGGATCAAAAATATACTACTGGAAGTAAAGTGCCTACTGCATAGACAACAGGGAATGAATGTGTACCTCCAGGAACCACGTAAAAAGCCAGGAATGGCAGTGTGGGCAGATCCTTGAAGCTTCCTGACCAGACAACTTTGCTGAGCTGATTAAGGGTCAGTGAGGCCCTGCTTCCAAAAATAAATTTGAAAAGAACTGAGGAAAGACTCATCCATCGATGGCTTCCACACACAGGTGCACACCATGTATACACATACCTGTATGCCCACTCAACACCCACAGAATACAGCACACACTCTTACGGTATGCTCCCACAAAAAGGAAAATATATAAAATGTTAGGATTGCTTATAAATATGCCTATTAACATGGGAAACAAAAATAAAGTCACACTATAATTAGGATTCAATAATTCATGATACTTAGCAAATAAGCTTTTTACAAATTTCTCTGAATATAAAAAAGGGCAAGACATGTAAAAGTGACAATCATCTTCAAGGCTGACACTAGTATGCATTTAAAGCAGCAAATATTTCAAGAAATGAGTATGTACCCTGCTCATTAGAAAACACCAGGAAAAACAGGATTTAGACTTCAAGTGAATGCAGAAAAAAAATATAAAGTATTTGCTAATTACCTGTATGTTTTCGAAGGTGTTCTTTAAAGTGTCCAAAGTGGTCAAACTGTTTGTCACAGTACTGGCATATGTGAATCTTTTTCCCAGTTCTTTGCTTCTTACTCACCCCACCTTCTTCAAGGTGGTAACAGTTCAGGTGTTGTTTCCATGCACTCTCTCGAAGATACCTTTTATTGCATATTTCACACTTGTAACTCTCAGTGGAGTGTGATTTCATGTGTTCCTTAAAATGGTAAAACAATTTAAACGAACGGTTACATTTCTCACAATGGAACAAGTCCTTCACATGTGACAGCTGAAGTTCCACAATTTCAATACCTTCTACCTGTTTGCTTATGGGGTCAGATGCACAGTCATCTTCACTAATCTGTTCTTTGCTTTCACCTTGTCGGTACTTGCTGGTAATATCTGCCAAGAGTGCTAGTGCGGAATCATCTGAGGAACCTGTGCTCTGTATGTACTTTATAGACTGCTTAGTAGAAGCCACCTCCTCCAAAGTCTCCATGGTGTCATCTTCTACTTCAATTGTGCCTTCAGCAATCTCCACCTCAATTTCCACAGGCTCTGACTCTGCAGATGGCAATGATTCAGTGATAACATTGGAAGTTTCTGCAATCTTTCTTTTTTTTGCCTCATTTTTTCCTGTGGTATTTTCCTCTAATGGAGCTGAGTTTTCTTTGTTCCTGAAATATATAAATTTAAGGGTTAAGAAATACTATAAAAAGATCAAAACTTTAAAAAGTTTATAAAATCATAGAAGACTCTTTTGAAAAAATTAAATTTATATGGAAGGCAAAAACAAAAAAAACAAAATTTGGCAGCCCATTTTGATCAATTTAAAGATTTCCTAAAAGCTCTAACAAGACAAAGGTATTGGTCAAAATATTAGATATGCAAATGTTAGTAGAACAGAAACAACAAAGTCCAAAAACAAACCAATACTTATAAAATTAACTTCTGGGGAAAAAATTGTTTATAGAGTAACTCAATGGAGAAAGGCACTCTTTTTAAAAAGTGGTGGTGCTGGAATATCTCATATATTAGAAAATAAGCTTCAATGTTTAAACTCATACCATTTATAAATACTAACTCTAAATAGATCACAGATTAAAATGTAAAACTAAAATTATTATATTTCTAAAAAACAAGGGAAAAAAGTCTTAGCCACAGGCTACCAACCTCTGCCTCCCCACTGCCAATCTTCATGTTAAAATTACACGAAAGCCTAACAGCATTGTGACAACAGGGCATCCCATGTCCAGGGTATTGCTTTAGAAAGGCAAGTCACTGCAAATCAAACCTGAAACAAGCCAGGAGACTTGTATCTGTTATCCTCATCTAGAAAACAACATGGAGAGGGAAGGAAGCTTAATCAGAAGCCCCTGAACCTGAAACACATGCTTTTAGGAGTATCACCTTAATGCTGACTGAGGTGATTAGGTGGGCTGAAAACACCAATAGCTGGGGGCAAGAAACATGTAGCTTCTGGGGTGCTTGAAACCAAAAGCAAATGTGCCTTGCATACTGGCAGGCTGTTACTGTCCACATCTGTCTCTACCTTCTCTCTTCTCTATCCTGATTGTCAGTCACTTTCAGAACAAAATCCATGGTGGATTTTACACACGTGGAGACTAAGAGCAATTCAATTATGTTGGAAGGACTGGGGTAGGGAGGCAGTATCTCATCAAGATTTGGGGTTTTAAACTTGAGACTAGTCACAGCTACAAGCTACAATTCCTCTGAAAAGAAGCAATTAGCATGCTGCTGGTCACATATTGGAATTGGTACCCAACCTGTGGAAAGCTGAAGTCTTCCAGTCTGAAAGTCCCATTTCATATTGAGTCAACCAGACTTTGTGACTAACATGGTAAGAAGTGTCCAACAAGTGTCTTTGGTCAGTCAAGAAGAAATGCTTAATTTGACAAAGTAGTTGGCTTTCTGTTGCAGGTGCTCAGCCTCAACGGTATCTATGAAAGCCAAAACAGACATAGCGGCGATGCTTGGTAGGCTGTCCTCATAGCTCTGGCCAACATTCCTCATCATTTATTGTGCTATATTTTTATTGACACACGGGCTGTTGTCAGTGGCTCAACTATTTGGTGAGCTAAACGGAAAGGCATGGCACATTGAAGACACCGACTTCCAAAGTCACAATCACAGGGAAAAGAGAGGTTTCAAAAACTTCCTGAGTTACTCATTTAAAGGTCCACGACAAATGGCTATTCTTTATTAAGACTAACTGCAATCAGATGTTGGAAGCAGCCTATTAAACAAGCAAGCCTGCTTTGCCCAGGCTGTCATAGCTATACCAAGAGCCAACATTCTGAATGTGTTAATGCAGTCATCATCACAAACTGGTCTTAAAAGTAAAGACACTCTTTCTGACACAGACTTCACACCTGACTTCTGCTACCTCCTAAGAGACTGCCTGTCTACTGTGAAGACATGACATGGCTTCACACAGAATGCTGTTACTTGCGACCTGATACAGATCTAGGAGCTATGTGTGGTAGCTTCACCCTAATGATCTTTTCAGGTCATTCTTTTGCTGCTCCAGTCTGACCAGCTGCTTCAAGGCTCAGGAATGTGGTCCATGAACACCATAACATGTATAGCTTTCTGGACTAGCTACAGTATGAAAATGGTGCATCTTTTTTTAATCACAAAAGCACTATAATAACTGGGTAACAGGAAGGTGGTGGTCTCTGATGCTTTCCTACCTCCCACAAAATACTGACATGCAAACTATTACAATAACCTCCTCAAACATTGACTCAAAATTAATTTCCCACTCTACTTCCCTCACCTCCTGCTTGTCCAAAAATCTGAGTAAGGCAGGCTGGTCATCAAGTTCAGCTGTCCCCAGAAAGGGGTCACCTCTTCTCAGTTGCTTCCTGAGTAATGAAGACGACAAAAAGGATGGGAAGCTTATGTAAGCCTAATCAGAAAATTTAGGACTCTGCCCTAAAAATATTCTTTGACATTATTTTTCCCCAATAGCAACTCTGGGACAATAAAGTAGGTATCTCTCTCAGGAGATAGTGAAATATGAGCTTAAATGATTCAAACTTAATTCTAGTTTAGTCATCTGGATTCTCTTACTAGAACACCACCAAATAAAGAGTAAAAACCACTGACCAACCAGCTCATTTATAATGGCACACATGAGGCCAAGTGGGAAACAATGGGTCTCTAAATTCTGTAAAAAACGCTCTTGAAACACATCCTATACAAGTTCTGGGTAGGGGTTAATGACTAATGACTAGAAAAGTTACAGTTGCTATACGAGGACATTAATTTTGGTGGGGTGGAGGGAAAGCAGCAATCCCAGGACCTGGAGAGACAGAATTTTACATCCCAGGAGGTTTGTGGGAGGGAGAAAGATTAAATCTTTCAGAGCCACTGGGTTGCTATTCAGGGGTCTGTGATAAAGAATGAACTGACTGACTGCCTTTCAGATAGCCCTTCACAAACTATACAGCTAGATTCAAGCATTCTCTCTGAACTAACAGGCAATGACAGCCTGTGTCCCTAGTAAAGTAGGCCTTAAATCTGAGGTACAAACAAGGTAGGCAGATGATGTTTACTCAAATTCTGTTAATAGTAGTCTTAAATAAGCCTAATATGAGAAAAACCAAACAGATTAAGTCAGTCCCTACTGGTAGATTATCGGAGTGACTAATGATAAAGAAGCAATTATGAGAGAAATTACCAGAAGCCTAGATAATATAGAAACAAGACTATTGCTGGGAAACAACATTTCATGGATCTCTAATGCAGACAGCCCTTTATTTTGGATTTGTTTGCAAGGCTATTTGTATATATAACAGCTTGAAAACAAAGTCTGTTCTGTTTCAGATAAAGATAGATAAGGTAGATAAAGATAACAATGAATTTCAAAACTGATGACATCAGGTAAGTTTGTACTTACTATATATGAAATGTTAACCTATGGCAACAGTAAACTGGTATGATCATTAATACTGGGAAAAGAGGACTGAATTACAAAATGAAGAAACAACAGAGTGCCATATTCATTAACTTGATAATGGTTCTACAGGTTATGTTAAAACTGTACACTTTAAAAATCTTTACTTAAATTTTTATAACATGTATTAATTTCATTTTATGTGAGCATTTTGTCAACATGTATGTATGTACACCACACACATGCAGAGTGTCTGCAGATATCACAAGGGGTAAGTAAACAGATCTCCTGGAATATTGTTACTAGAATATTTCTGGAATGAAAGGGAGGGGTGGTTGTGAACCATCACATAGGTGATGGGAACTGAACCCAGGTTTCTGCAAGAGCAGCAAGAGCTCTGAATAACTGAGTCATTTCTCCAGTCCCTAAATCTTTACTATTTTTTTATATTATATGTTGACTACATTTATGTCTGTACCACATGCCTACCTTGAGTCCACAGAAGCATCACATACCCTAGAACTAGAGTTACAAATGAGTGTGAATCGCCATATAGATACTATCACACCGGGACCCTCAAGAAAAACATGCAGTGCACTTGACCACTTCCTTATTAAAACTCCAAAACAGGGCAGGGCTGATGAGATGGTTCTACTGGTTAAGGTGCTTTCTGCCAAGCCTGATGACCTGAGTTTGAGCCCCAGGACACACAAAATGCAAAGAAATAACTGACTTTTCCAATTTATCCTCTGACCTCTGACATTTGTGCTGTGGCACATGCACACCCACGTATAAATAAATGAGGTAATTAGAAAGCTTTACAAACATTCAAACCACAAGATACACACATTCATACTCTTATCAGAATAACAAGCTCATTAGAAGTTAGTGAACTGGGGCTGGAGAGATGGCTCCAGGGTTAAGAGCACTGACTGTTCTTCCAAAGGTTCTGAGTTCAATTCCCAGCAACCGCATGGTGGCTCACAACCATCTGTAATGTGATTTGGTGCCTTCTTCTGGCACACACTGTATACATGATAAATAAATAAATAAATAAATAAATAAATCTTTAAAAAAAGAGAGAGAGAGAGAGAAGTTAGTGAACTGTAACCTGTGTTCAACTTATATAAACAAAGCTTTACTAAAACAGCCACCTTGGGGCTAGAGAAATAGCTCAGAGGTTAAGAGCACTGACTGCTCTTCCAGAGGTCCTGAGTTCAATTCTCAGCAACCACATGGTGGCTCACAACCGTCCCTTAGGAGATCTGGTGCCCTCTTCTGGTGTGCAGATATACATGGAAGCAGAATGTTGCATACATAAAAAAAATAAAAATGAAAATAAAACAGCCACCTCATTCATTTATATATTACATGCATAGCACAAGTATAAGATATTAACTATTTCTCTTTTTATGTGAAGCAGATGTTAAATAACTATTTCTGTTTTAAAATGTTTGCTGTGTAGACTTGGCTGTCCTGGAACTCTTTGTAGACTAGGCTGGCTTTGAACAGAGATGTGTCTCTGTCTCCAGAGTGCTGGGATTTAAGGTGTATGCCACCATCGACCAGCACCATTAATACATTAATACAATTTTAACAGACCACTTCACAAGGCTTTAATTGTGTAACAATGATTTATGTAATATCAACTCATTGTAATCATTTCAGACATTTTAAGTAACAAACTAAAGTTGTCTGGTATCAAATTTACTTACACTAAGTTTATACTGTCTACCCATTTGTGTATTTTGAAGGATGTCAAAACCATTTTATTAAAAAGGAAGAAACTAGCCGGGCGTTGGTGGCGCACGCCTTTAATCCCAGCACTTGGGAGGCAGAGGCAGGTGGATCTCTGTGAGTTCAAGACTAGCCTGGTCTACAAGAGCTAGTTCCAGGACAGCCTCCAAAGCCACAGAGAAACCCTGTCTCAAAAAACCAAAAAAAGAAAAAAGCAAAAAAGAGGAAGAAACTAAGTACTGTTGCTTAATTAAGTTCTTTTCAAGTGCAAGTATTTGAGGTAAATTGTAAATTACTCCTAACCAGCCTTCTAATGCTGAGTATGACCAAGTAAACCCAGATCCCGGATATGAACCAAGTTCTTTCCAGAAAGTCAAATTAACTAAAAGAAATGTTACTGGGGTCTGGAAAGGTGGCTCAGAAGTTAAGATCAACAGTTGGATTCCCATCACCCCCATGGTAGCTCACAACCATTCATAACTCCAGTCCTCTTCTGGACTCTGTAAACACCTCAGGTATTATGGTACACAAGCGAAGCACTCATACACAGAAAATTTTTAAAAAAATGTAGTGCACACCTTTAATCCTAGCACAGGAAAGGCAGAGGCAGGTGGATCTTTGTGAGTTCAAGACCCACTTGGTCTACAAGAGCTAGTAGTGCCAGGACAGGCTCCAAAGCTATACAGAGAAACCCTGTCTCGAAAAACCAATGAATAATAGAATTAATCATTTAAAAAACAAACCATAGAAGGAAGGGGAAATTCAAATAGTAACAGGAGGTACCACTGTAGTACCAGTTCACACATTTAGAATACTGTATGACAGACACTGTCATATGGATTTTATAGGCATTTAACAAACAAGTCTCAGTAGAAAGTCACATTACTATACCATCTGACAGGGGCTGAGTACCTCATTAAGGCCACAGTCAAAGAGCTAGGGTAACCTAGAGCAATGCCAGAGCCCTCAGATCCTCCTTTACACTGCTCTAAATGAAGATGGTGAGTGATTTGTTCAGGGTACCCTTTAGTATTTTCTGAATGCCTCCTAGAAGAAATTCTGTGTTTTAATACCAAGTAGTAACTCCTTAGCAATGGACCTGTTCTCATGTTACAATACTCCTTTGTAGTGGACATTTCAGAAGTCAGATGGAGATTTAAATCTAGAGTATATAACAAGTTTATATAAATACATTTAGATAATAGTGGTGGCTTTAATAGAAACCCCATAAACTCACAGATTTCCCACCACAGCAATAATGTACTAAACCTCTGAGTGTAAGCCAGCCCCAACTAAATGTTTTCCTTTATAAGAAAGAGTTGGCTTGGTCATGGAGTCTGTTCACAAGAATACAACTTTGACTAAGACAGCCTATTGAAGTGTATTAACATCCTCCGTATTAATAATTATCACTCAAATTCAGCTAAAGAATTTATGAGGGCCCAGAGACCACCCTGAAGAGCTGCCTAGACTCTATTAGATACCAGATATGCTATTTTAATACTAGTAGTGTTTACTTGGGAAGCCAATGCAAATGGAAAACCAGTATCCAAAATTTTCTTAGTTTCAGAATGTGCTACAGTCTTGACTAACAGACTCATTTAGCATTCCTGAAGAAATAACAATTACCGGACTTCAAGGGCTTTAATAGCTTCCAGCATCTGTAGAAACTCTGCTGCTTTCCACACATCATTGGCTTCTTCTTCTCCTTGTATCATTAGTTTTGCTGTGTACGTGAACTCAATTAAATGACGAAAAGCCATTTTACTAACACCTGTAAAAAAGATGCACATTACCATTAGTTCACATCAATTCAAACCACATAATGCACAGTAAATAAGACAGTACTAGGGATTTGGTTATTAGTCGCTTTTGAAATTTTCCACAATCATCACAATTAATATCCTAGTCACATTGTGGTACTATTAACCAAGGTAAGAGCTCATGTTCCCCATTCCAGCCCTGATGAGCCCACTCTAGCGCCGACCAATGCCTCTTAAGTTTTATTTTAGTGTCTGAGTGAATGTCTGGCAAAGCTAGAAACAATGCATCCCCTGGAGCTAGAGTAACAAGTGGTTATGAGCCATACGATGTAGGAGCTGGGAACTGAACTCAAGTCCTCTGGAAAATCAATACACTGTTAACTGCTGAGCCACCTCTCCAACCCCCGACCCCTTAACTATGAATTTGACTATTTCAGTTAGTTACATATGTAGATATTTTATCATTTATCTTTTCTTTTTGTTTTGGTTTTTTGAGACAGGGTTTCTCTGTAGCTTTGGAGCCTATCCTGGCACTCAACTGGAGACCACGCTGGCCTCGAACTCACAGAGATCCTCCTGCCTCTGCCTCCCGAGTGCTGGGATTAGAGGCATGCACCACCAACGCCCAGCTTATCATTTATCTTTAACTGGCTTAATTTAACATGTTTTCAAGGTTTACATGTTGCATATGGCAGAATTTTTGAAGGCCGACCAGCATTCTATTTTGTGTATGTATAAATTTCCTGTATTCATTAGAACATTCAATGTTCTGATGAACATTTAGGAATCTCCACATATTGGCCTATTGTGAATGGTACTAAAAGGAATGGAGACCTACAATTAAAGAAATCTTTTAACTTATTGTGTGTGTGTGCATGCTATATGGACGGATGTGCCACAGTGTCCCTGTGGAAGTCAAAGGTAGGTTCTAAGATTTGAACTCAGGTTGTCAGCTTGCACACTAACTACTGTTCACTGAGCCATCTTGCTGGTCAAGGAGCACAACTTCCTGAAGATCCTGATGCCATATGTGGAATTACTAGATTTTATGTGTTAACAGCTTGGCCCCAGCTGGTAGCATGTGATTTGACTGAGAATGCTTACTCAAAGCTGAATGGACTAATAAAGAGATGGGGCCTCAGTTATTCTACCCTGCAACTTTGAGCAGCTTCAATCGTCCGCATACCTGACTGTTCTCCATGTTGGATTCTATGAAAATATTTTAAACTCATTCATGGGCAGGAGCATTTATATGTCAACAGTTTTAGCTACATCACAAAGGGCTCAACAGATATACACTGAATTGATTTTATAGAAAGGCTGGTTAGAGGAAGGTCTTTCTCGCTTACAAATTGCCGTGAGTGAACAGCTGTCTCGCTGCAGGCTTCTGCTTCATCACCTGCTCTGTGTCAAGGTGCTCTACCTTAACAACAACCTCTGAAGAACCTCTGCCACTCAACTCTCCTCCTCCCTCGGAAAACTGTTCAATACATATGGTTTTTCTATTTTTGGCACACTTCTTGTTTTCCACACTCATTTCCAACTTCTCTCAGGTCTCTGTCTTCTGCTTCCTTGATACACTCTTCACAAATGTACAGTGATCCTTGCTGACAATGACACAGATGGAACACTTTTCTCATCTACTTAAAGGGCATTTACTTGTTTACTTTCTTGGAGAAAGTCCTATTTAAATTCTCACCCTATAGTTATTTATTATTTTTGTTTTTTTCCAGACAGAGTTTCTCTGTGTAGCTTTGGAGCCTGTCCTGGTACTCGCTCAGTAGATCAGGCTGGCCTTGAACTCACAGAGATCCGCCTACTTCTGCCTCTGGAATGCTGGAATTAAAGGCATGCGCCACCACCACCCAGCGGAATCACTCTACTTTTAAGTAGAATAGTTTTAAATTTAAATTTTGAGTTGTCCTCTTTCTGCTGCTGTGCTGGAAACCTCAGGCTAGATGGTCCATTTTGCTCCATCACCCACTGGAGTGCCAGGTCACAGATACTTGTTACTGCCATCTGGTGGGTTCCAGGATCAAATTTAGATCTTCAGGTCTTCCTTACAAGCCTTTTCCACTATCTTAATAGGGTCCCACTCTATAGCTAGCTTTGAACCTGTGACAACACTCCTGCTTCAACCTCCAAATAACAGGACTGAAAGGTGTCAGCCAAAATGCTTGGCTAGTTTCCTAATATTTTACTGACAATTTTTACACCTATATTCCTAATGGATATTGGCCTACAGATTTATTTTTAAATTACTTATCTTGCCACATCAGCGTCATACATACTAGTCTCAAGTAAATCTGGAGTGTTTGCTGTACTCAGGAAGCAGAGACAGGTGGATCTCTGTAGGTTCCAGCCCATCCTGGTCTACACAAAGAAACAATGTCTCAAAAAAACAAAACAACAACAAAAAACAAACCTAAACTGTAAGTGTTCAATTATTTTTAAACATTTATTTTATTAATGTGTGGTTTGTATGTTTATACACAAATAGCTGTCTGCAGAGGCCTAAGGTGGGTATCAGATCTCCCTGGAAATGGAGCCATCTGACATTGATGCTGGGTATGAAACTCATTATTCTCTGAAAAAGCACTTATGTGCTCATCACTGCTGAACTCTCTCCAGCCCCTTAGTTTTTTTGAACCTAAAGATTGCATGAATTTTTGAAATGCTTGACTGAGTTCACTAGTAAAGTCATCTGGTCCTAGACTTCTTTGTTCAGAGGTATTTTGATAACTAATTCAATCTCCACAGGAAGTCCTTCATACCATTTCTTCATGATTTAGTAACAAAACCTTCAGTATTTCCCACAGGCTCAATTCTGCAACTGTTCTGGAAATTTAGTTTATAGAACTCTCTTCATTGTAACCTACTTGAGGGAAATAACGTTTGATCTGTACATTCACCTCAGAGCATCTAACAGTATTCCAAAATACAGGTACATACAGCAAGAACAAATGCTAAAGTTATTTTTGAAACTAAGTGTCTAGTTCAAGTGTGTTGACACAGACCTTTGATTTCAGGAGGCAGGAGGATCTCTTGGGAAGTTAGAGGCCAACCTAGTCTAACAGAGTGAGCTCTGGCACAGAAAGGCCTACACAGTGACATAATGAGACCCTGTCTCAAAACCAGACAAAAACCCCGTTTCTACAAATCCTATTTTTCTTTTCAAGTTTTGTGCTTAAATTTAATAACAAAATGATACTATTTCTGTATGCCCTTACTGCTAGGTATTATTGTTTCAGTCTAGCTAAAGCAAGAAACAATTTAAGAAGGCTATTTAAGCTGGGTATGGTGGCTCACAACTTTAATCCCAGCACTTGGGAGGCAGAGACAGGAGGATCTGGAGGCCAGCCAGGTCTACAGAGTGTGACATCTAGGACAACTAGGGCTGTTATACAGAGAAACCCTGCCTGGGAAAGCAAAACACTTGAGTGTAAGAAGGCTATTTAAAGGAGCAAAGAAAAGCCTTTAACAGATTTCCAGACCAAGAAATGCTCAAGTCTAAATTATAATCAGTATACAATCAACATCCTTCACGTTACTTTCAAAAGTAGGATTAAGTGACACACTGATTTTTTAAATTTAAATCTTGATTTTTTTTTTTCCTGCCACAGATTTGGGCCTTGTATGGACATGCTAGGAAAGTGTGCTACAGTCTTAGCTTTACCACTTGACCTTCATTATGGCTTTTATCAGAAAGGTTTCACTGAATTCTTGTGGGTATTTGCTAAACTGGGCCTGGTGGTGAACACATATAATCCTAGCATTCAGGTGTTAGGTCAATCTAGTAAAACTTCATGAAAGAAAGTAAGAGAGAAAGACAGAGAGAAAATCCATCAACTATATTATGATCACTAAGTTACTCTGCTTTACTGAACAGGGCTGGAAGGACCTGTAGAAAACTTCACATAGTATATGCTGTTTAAAGCTGTTAAGAGGGCTGGAGGGATGACTCAGTTGTTGGAGCACCACCTGCTCTTCCAGAGCACTAACTCAATTACTAGCTCCCTGTGGCAGCTCACAGCTGTCTGTAATTTCAGTTTCAGGAGATCTAACTCCCTCTTCTGGATTCTGTGGGCACTGCAGAAATGTAGCTAACATCACACTCAGCAAAATACTCCCACACATAAAATAAAACCTTTTAGAAAAAAAAGCTATCAATCTGGGCAGCAGTGGCAAAGGCTTTTAATTCCAGTACTTGGGAAGCAGAGGTAAGCAGTTCTGTGTAAGTTCAAGACCAGCTTGGTCTACAAAGAGTTCCAGAACTGTCACACGGAGGAGCCCCATCTATCAAGAGCCACAACATAACTTGGAACAATGTCCTCTTGGAAAACTGACCTACAGACACTTTTCTCACATAACAAGCAACACAATTAACATTCAGAAAAAAACAAAGTTTGATCAAAGTTAGGAAAAACTGGTAAAGGGAAACTTAAAAGAAGATCTGGAACGTTTACTGTTTCTAGAGCTTTGTATTTTTATTACTCTTGCTGAGCCCTTTTCTCCAGTCCTGTTCCTAATCTAGATTAATCAGAATCACCAGTCCTAAGGGCTTCAAAAGTATGGTTTTCTGATCTTTATACTCAGACCTAGGAATGCCATTTATCTATCTTAATATGAGCACTTCAGAGTTTGTTTGATATAACCAGCCCAGGACTCTCCTAGAAGCAAACCAAACCAATTTGGTATTTTTGGATTAAAACATTTCTTACCAATCCCTTACTCCTCTCATAGTGGAAATATTCAGAAAAAAAAATTATTTTTCTAAGAGAATGTTATCTAAGGAAAATGTTAAAGAACACTTTTAAAAGTAGTCTTCTCATGGGGACAAAATTCTGAGATTTCTCTAGTCTGGATTTAAAAAAAAAAAAAAAATTCAAAGAAATCCTGCCTTGAAAAACCAAACCAAAACAAAAACATTCCTACTCAGAACAACTTTTGGTAGGGTGTTGTGGCACACACCTTTAATCCTATCAACCAGGAGGCCAGCCTGGGCTGTATAGTGAGTTCAGGACAGCAGGGGCTTTATCAGAGATCCTATCTTAAAAAGCAAAACAAACCTCGTGGTTTTTAAATGTCCTTGGCTGTCTTGTCCTTGAAATTAGGTTTGAAATTCTCTGGCCACAATAGAATTGCCAGAAGAGAAATCAAATAATTTAGATCTGTAGTTTTAAAAGCAAAAATAAATATAAATAAACTTAGAAAATTAGTCTCCTTTCTGAATTAGAGATAAGATATCTTCTGCAGATTATATATGGCTAAAGTCCAAGTCACAAAGCTGAATTGGTATGTAACTGGCTTCAGGAGCAACAAATTTCAAAGCTATGGGCGGTTGGGTGGCCCGCCGAAGGACACAGCAGCCATGTCTAGTCAAAGGTAATTTCACTGAGAAACCGTGGTGTACGCCGATAATCCCAGGGAGGCAGAGCGAGAGAAGGCAGATCTGTGAGGCCAGCTGAGCAACCAGTATAAAACAGAAAAAAAAGTTCCCAGAGAAACTTCTAGAGAACCAAGCAAGGTGATAAAAGGGGTGGTATGGGGTGGGGATACTTAGTTTTTCCTCCTCTCAGCAACATGCAAAATAAGCTATAATTCTAAGTCAGGGACTCTGACATTACAAAGATATTCATGTGTTTGAGATCTTGCTAGAGCCCATGTCGGCCTCAGCTTCCCAATCTTCTTGCCCATCTCCCTAGTTTACAACTGGGATTAGTACCTTGTCAGGACTATGAAGATTTTGACATTACTAAAGGGTGTCTGAAACTGCATGCTCAAACAAATACAAACAAAAGCATTCTCTAAAGGATAAAAGCACCACCTACTCTTACACCAAATGTCCATGACACAATCCAAATTACTTTATAATTTTATGATCTCAAAAAAAGATGCTACATCATTCAAGATCATAAAGAGCAAAACTAAGACCAAAACTCATGTTCTACCTATGTGCTCAGGGCTTTCTTTACAGCCAGGTGACCTTGGGAGAAAAAGCAATCTCAGAGTTAAGAGTTAAAATGATAATCAATGCTGGTGGTGCACGCCTTTAGTCCCAGCACTTGGGAGGCAGAGGCAGGCGGATCTCTGTGAGTTCCAGGCCAGCCTGGTCTCCAGAGCTAGTGCCAGGATAGGCTCCAAAGCTACACAGAGAAACCCTGTCTTGAAAAACAAACAGCAACAACAACAACAAAAAACACCTGAACCTGGCCAAATAACCAAAACAAATTTCCATTTTATTGTCTGCTTGCAATATAAGTATTTAAGGTTTATGTGTCCACACTATAAAAATATAGATAGGAGCTACTGAGCGATAAGAAAGAAAACTGCAAAACAATCTTTAGCAAGAAAAATCCTTTCCCCAGTGCCGCTTTCTGGATTAGCCAGAGTTTAAAATGTTAGGTGTGGGCCGGGCGTTGGTGGCGCACGCCTTTAATCCCAGCACTCAGGAGGCAGAGGCAGGTGAATCTCATAAATCCCAGGACAAACTCCAAAGCTACAGAGATACCTTGTCTCAAAAAACAAAAAACCCACAAACAAAGTTAGGTGTGAGGGAGACAGCTCACTGATTAAAGTGCTTGCTGTGCAAGCAAGAGGACTAGAGTTTAGTAACCCAGAAACTACATAACCTATAAAATAATCTATAGGTTGTTGCAGCCATCTGCTTTTAATAAGAGAACTAGCCACACCTATGGCCTCAAACTGTGAAACCCTGCCTCAAGGACAAAGTGGGCTGCCATCAGTTAAGACACTGGAGTGTTGGCCTTGGACCCGGACAGTGTACAGGTACAGGAGTATCCAATTCTCACACACACACACAAATTTTCTTGATAACCTCTGCCTAGTATAGTTGACTCCTCTCTGAAATCATAACCATTCCTAACCATATAACAGTCTCTAATACTTTACTGATGCTATTATATTTTCAAGTTCTTCAAGAAATGCCGTATTCATAAATTCTATAGCTCTTGGGTCTAGCACACTACATAACACAGCAGGTAATCAATATGATGAACAGTTCACACCAAATATGGTGATGGGTTTTCTTCGTGACTATTTACTTCAACTAATTACTACAAGCCTGCTTTTCAGGTGAGGAGACAGATATGCCTCTGAGTTGAAGTAACTTGTTAGCTACTTAACAAGCCTCAAGCTGATGGACTTGGCTTTGTAGTAAAAACAGTGCTAATCTATGCAGCTAGATTCTCACTAGCAATCCCTGTGTATGTCTAGTACACCCATCCTTGGTCTATCATACAAAATTTAAAAAAAAAAAAAAATTTTTTTGGAGACAGGGTTTCTCTGTGTAGCTTTGGACCCTGTCCCTGGGACTCACTCTGTAGACCAGCTAGCCTCGAACTTGCAGAGATCCACCTGCCTCTGCCTCTCAAGTGCTGGGATTAAAGGCGTGAGCCGCCACTGCCAGCCTAATAAAAAAAAAAATAATTTACCTGCTGATATATTAACTGAAATATACCAACACTAAAGAATAGTTGAACTGGGCATTGGTGACACACGTCTTTAATCCCAGCACTCGGGAGGCAGAGGCAAGCAGATCTCTGAGTTCCAGGCCAGCCTGGTCTCCAGAGTGAGTGCCAGGATAGGCTCCAAAGCTACACAGAGAAACCCTGTCTGGAAAAACAAAACAAAACAAAACAAAACAAACAAACAAAAAAACAAAAAAATAGTTGAAACTCGATAATTCCCCTAGTTATCAATTTCTTTCCCCAAGAGAAATTTCTAAGCAACCCACTCATAATAAAGGATATATACAAAGTAAAAAGCCACAAAACCAAAACTTAGCAACTCTGGAAAAAGTTAAGATTTTGTATTTACATGGGCATATGTACTTATTTCCTATTCCTTTAGAGTTTGGTGGGACATGGGGTAAGCACTGTGTAATAGCAAAAGATAAAAGCATGAAAATTAACAGTACAAACAAAATCTCTTGCTAACTATGCAACCTTAGGCAAGTAAACTTTGGAGCCTGGTTCCCATTATGTAAAATGGAAATACTACCACTTACTTTTCAAAAGATTACACAATACACAAACTTCCACAGTACATTGCTTAGCACTTGTCCTGCTAAAATTTGGAGCAAAATGTGAATCATTTTGTTTCAAAGTAATGCCTATCTGATGATCCCTTCTCTCCTAAATAATATGACCAAATTTCATCTGCAGTTCATTCACCTTTCCTAGTCTTCTCCATAGCATTGCAGCCCATTTATTTGTACCCATTAGGAAGCATATCACTATTCTTCTAGTGCAGAGGTCTTTCCTGTTACCTTAAAATATTGCTACCATAATCTATTATCCCTAAAGAATAGGTCACTAATACGAAGACGGTAGTTTCCATTTATGCATACTTGGAAGATAACAGCGAACCTTGGTTTCAGCAATGGGCCAGAAATCATTTGAAACCAGTTATTCCAAATGCTTTACTGAAAGAATTCTCAAGTAATAAAAAATAATGTACCTAGTTTTCTACCAGCAAATATCGGTATTTCCCAGGGTGTCTTGCTACATAAACCAGTTATTTTTGCTAAGTACTGTGTAGGAAATGCCACTTACCTTCTATTTCAACCAAAGGTTCTTGAGTAAACTCCTGAAAGAATTTGTAGAAGAATTTACTGCAGGCAGCCAAAACAGCCTTGTGGGCCTTAAAATGGTGTCCTAAGTAAGGGTTGGGGGGAGAAAAAGAAATCATACACTGGCGACAAAATCAAAGTTAAACTACAAAATGTATAAAGGAGACCTTCTTTGTAATATAAATACATATCCCCACCTATTATTAGAAAAAAATCCAAACTACTACTATCAATTATCTTGGGAAATTTTGATTTTAATTGGACACAAACCTAAACTTTTACCTTCAAAGACTTAATCCAGTTTTTATAAAAGTCAGTTATGAATGTCTTCTAGCACTTTGTTCCACTCAATAAGTAACAAGGTATATTTAACCCCGCTGAAACTGTATGGGCTAGAGAAATGGCTTGGTGCCACTGGTTGCTCTTTTAGAGGGCCCAGGTTCAATTCCCAGCACCCACACCGCAGCTCACAATTGTTTGCAATTCCAGTTCCAAGGAACCTCCTTGAACACCAGTCAAGCACATGGTTCGAGCCCATGTGCACGTGTGTGTAGCCAGGACAGTCATACACATAAAATAAATAAATAAATAAATAAGTAAACGAAATATGATGACAACCAACAGTTCATGTTGTTATTCAGAAAGGGATTAAAAAAAAAAAAAAAGTACAGGCTCGGTGGTAAGTGGCACAAGCCATTAATTCCAGCACTCTGGAGGCAGGAGAATCTCTTGTGAATTCGAGCCCAGACTTTTCTACAGGGCGAGTTCTAGGACAGTCAGGACTGTTACACAGAGAAACCCTGTCTGAAAGGGGGGGAATAAGTACAAAGCTAGATGAGTCTGGTATGGGAAATGTTTCAATATGCCTAACATATCTGTAGGCACAATACACCTACAAAAACCAATAATAAGCAACAGCTTGTCTTGAAAGCCCATTTTCACTAAATAGAAAGGAATCTCAACCTGGATTTGCCTCTACAAGACTGGTAAAGACCCCAATTTATTTTGGAGTCGCCCAAAGAGGGGGTGGGTATGAGTAGCCAAGGTTTCTCTTCCATTCTCCTTCCCACACCACTTTGGAAAACCGGAATAAACATTTCCCAAATGATTCCTGTGCTGTGCTTCTCAAAGCAGCTGGCTAAGAGGAAGCTTATTAACAATAATGTTGAGACAGCCTCCCTGTCTTCTTACCAAACACTGAGGTATTTTCTCTCTCCTCGAGGCCCCTATCTTTTACGCCCGAGTGTGCAATGAGAAAACTTGAACAGGTTGCGAGAAGTTAAAATGTGATGCACATCAGACTAGATTAAAATTAAGACTAGCCAACCAGCTTTCTGCAGCATGGTCTACGTGAGCAACACTGACAAGCGCCCTCCCGGTTCCGATGCAAACCCTCCACAAGACTTTGGAAGAGAGCCCAGAGCGGGTGGGTAAAAAGGCGGGCAGTGAGAGGGAACTAAGCTCCAATTTTCTCCTCTACCCACTACCCTACCCACCGTCGACAATCAGGGTGATGTCTGTAAACCGGTCCTGCTCCCGTTGTTCATTCAATCGATCCAAGATCATTTTATGGTGTTCAGGAAACTCCTGAAGGCATTCCATCGTTTCTTCAGCCTCCATGGCCGTCGGGGTGCTCTACAAAAGAGGAGCATGATAATGTACACCCATGAGCTCGGGCTGACACAAAAACCCCTACAGCAGAAAACAAAACAAAACCCAGGAACGGGGGAAGAAGGGGGAGGGGGAGGCCGAGAGCAAGGCTGGGCAAGAAGAAAGGC